GAAAAATTTTTTATATTTATATGATAATACTTGCTGGTGCAGTTTGTTCGAAAACCACAGATTAATCGCGATTTATTGTAATATCAGAAAAATCACAGATGAATCACCGAAAGTGGTGCAATCTTGATGGCATGAGTAATAGTCCAGCCTATCATGAGGGGTTCAATTTGAGGATCACTAGACAAAACGATAAACTACTGAAATTATGGACTTTATCGCTCATTGATAATGCTTCAATTCAACACATAAATCATCAATTGATTTTTTTAATTTAACGAGATGTATGTCAAATGTACTGGTAGACACAATTAGCATAATGACTATGTTTATCATCCAGTTGTATCTTTCAAGAAGTATTTTAATTCTAGAAATTAAACTATCAAAAGGGTGTGTGTATAAAGTCTGCCGAGTATCGCACTCACATGCACATCCTCACCCACACCTAAATATACCTCATAGAATATATGGACGACCTCGTCTTTGTACAATGAAAAAACACTGGAAGATCGTTGCTATGCCTATAAGAAAAAATAATCACAGACGCTTACAAATTCTAGAAATGGATTCTGCTATCAAAACTGAACGTGTACGAGTCAGTGTGGTAAGATAGAGCAGGACGAATCCACTTTATTCACAGATCAAAAAAATTTCGCGTCACCTATGGATGACAACGCATGAAATATGAGATTCCGTAGTGGTATGCAATGAAGAAGAACTTCTATGTTTTGCTCAAATCCAAGAGAATTTAGATAGGTGATTGTAGCATTCGCTGTCAATAGGTCATGCTGACAAAAAAAGAAGAGAAGAAGATTGAAGGTAGAAAATGGAGAATAGAATGAAATGAAAAGGCAAGGAGAACAGCAGCAACGTGGGACGAGAATTAAAGTCGGAGTACAGAAAATACAAGAAGGAAGAAAAGGAAAAAGAGAAGAAAAAAATACATATACTCACCTCCCCAAAACATCATATTCTCTGAAACATTTATTTATTTGCCAAGAGCACATTAAACAGTTGAGATGGTACAAGTAGGCATATTCACAGTGGCTACATGAACCAATTCTATTGGATACACAATACATTTCAGTAGCATTATGTATTGCCGATATTAATGATATCGTATATTCGTTTACTCCTCACCATTATTTAGTCTTCTGCTGTCTTTTTTCTTCCTTGTGGCTTATTTTCTTGATTTCTTTCTTTTTTGTTTGTTTTTTATGTTCTTTTGTCTTTTACTTCGTTCTTTTCTATATTCTATTGTCTTTTTCGTATCTTACTTTCATTCAATTCATAACCAATGTATATGATCCTGGTGCTACAGTATCTCTGTATGATCGACATAATTTATAGAGGTAAAGAAGGCTAATAATAAAAACAAATACAACAAAACAATGAGTTGTTGGGAAGATAATTTATCTTCTAAAGATTTGAGTTTCTGTAGTTAATTTTGTTGTATTTTCTAGGTAGCTTAAAGATCAAATCTTTTTCATATGGAATAATTCCAATGATGAAGAACTTCGTACATTTTTACAATCGATTAAAAAAAATATCAATGTTCATTTTCAGAAATCAATTAGATCAAGTGTACAATATTTACAACACATATATCGAAAAACAATATGTCCAATTATATAGTTGACTTTATTCGGATCCTAATATTCAAGTTATACATAGTCACATATCGTGCATCGTTCAAATTAGCTTACAGTGATTGTTGTTCTCTCAGGTTCAATTTTGTGCTGTTTGTTATTGTTCAATATTCGATAATTTTAATCTCGCACGAAATTATTTTGAAATAACTTCTCTCATAAACGGTTAATCGTTACTATTCGTTGAGATTCATGTACAGCATTTTTTCAATTATTTTCGTACTCATGCAATGCAATATTCAATGAATCAAACTGTGTATAACAAATTGTGTCATAAATGGTTCAATTTGATTGAACAATAACATGAACTTTCGAATCAACGTCAACAACTTGATGATAATGGACATTTAATTCGTTTCAATTTCATTATTATTCATTTTCATCACAAGAAAAGCATAGAAGTCTATTAATGACGAATTATCTTCATTCATTGAATAACTTATTAGCTAAACAGAAAGCAATTTATTTGATTTAAAAATAACGATTTTAAATCATTGATCTTGTTGACTAAATAATATTTTGTCTTTTCAACTGATACAAGAGAAGAACTTTATTGTGATAAATAAATAAATATATATATATGCAACAATCTTTTTCATTTATATTTGATATGAATAAGTGACACGGTTTATTTATTTGTCATCTTTTCTTCGTTTCTCGACTTTCGATATATTTTTTAAACAAGTCTCTCATAGCACGTTTTCGCCTTCATTGTTTAGATTAATTTCTAGTCCAGATATGTTTGTAAAGCTTCATTATCTATTTCAAGATTTCTATTTAATTTTTATTAAAGAACAAGCAAATCATCAATGATATCTTGAGAATAATCTGTTGCTTTTTCTATCTAGAACAATAGCAGGTTCTAGTCACAAAGTGAAAAGACATGTCCGAAAACGATAACTTAATATTGAATCAAGCGTTTTACCGACTATAACTTTACTAAATCATTATCAAATCAATCAATTAACATCTCCAATGCCACTACAAGATTTATTATCGATACAGAAGATGATTCTTACAGACACCGACCAGCATTGATTCAAATCGAATTTATACGAAATCGATCAATTGTGCTACTAATTGCAACATGTCGTTTATTAAAATGGATCATCAGTATTATTTTGGTCGATACAGTCACTTTTAAAAGCAATTTTCTAATCATCAAATATTATATAATCATGGGGTGATGCAAAGGGTAAATTAAACAGTTTTATTCTTTGTAGAGTCTTTTCATTTCCAATACTTCACTAATTAAATGATATAGATAAACAGAAACGCTTCTAAACAACTAGCACAATAAAAAGCTTAAACATAAAAGTGTTGGTCCAACATTGGATGATGATAATACACTATGTACATACTTACATAAATCATTTGAATATTTCAACCATGAATGGTCAGTTCCGATGGCCATAGCTTTTTAATTTAATGAGCTTCTCAACAAAAGTTGAACAAAAAGTAATTGGAGTCGCCATCTTGACCTGACAAATCTGCATGAACTGTCTATAGGAAAAAAACATCGTGAAGAAATGATGCAATATGCTGTTAATGACTGTTTAGTAGCGTTATGGGCCTTGCCCTCACTTATTCTGTTATCGTTGTTTTTCTTCTCTTCTCTCAGTTATCGTTTTTTTTCTCATTTTTGAACTGATTTCACCTTCATCGTTTTTTCTTCTTTCGTCGAGTTATACTCGATGGTGATATACATTAATATATAAATATACATGTTTTTCTCTCGACAGTTTTGATATATATATCATCATTGTGTGTGCGTGCATTTGGGAGGTCAGATTTAAAAATAAAAGAAAAGGGTTAACACACACAGTCCCTAATAGGCAGTCATCTACTTGATAACTTTATTATAACTCAATTGAAAGAAAGAATAACTTGAACAATAAAATCAAAATAATCAATCATCATTATAAATAAGTGACATTAGTAACTCATACTGTCTTATTAACATTTATTTTTCTGTTTCATTCAGATATTTTACATGCATTATAAAAAAAATATCATAATAGTTTTTATTCTTCCTCTTATTTTTGTTTATTGTCTACTTCTTTTTTGTTGTGAAATATCTTGTTCCAAAGAAATAAAAAATAAAAAAATGTGTAGTGTTTCATCTCAATTCAGTTCTTAATGAGCACAGGTTTCTTTTTCTTTTTGGATGATTCTAGTCTAACATGTGACAACAATCATCAACAACATCAATCATTTATTCGAGTAAACCAAAAAGGTGTATATGAAACAAAGTCCTCAAATTTTTTTTTGTGGAAATAGCCATCTATATTATTAAATCATACTCTGATAGCTTTAGAGATGGCAAGCAACAGTGAAGATAAAATTTTCAGTAAACAACTTCTAAAAATAGATGTGACAATTATTTTGTTTGATTGCATGCAATGGTATGTGAAAATTTCACAGTATAAGGTAAAAAAGTTAATAAAATACAAAGAAAGCAACCATTATGGCTCATTCTCTGTTTGCAAATGATTTTATTATAGATCGAAGAATAAGACATTGGTTGAATTCAAATATACATACAAAGCTTGGCCATAACATACAAGAGTTTCGAGAAAAACAAAGAAAAGCATCATCCCAAGTTGCAGAAGAATATGGAGAATATTGTATTGAAAGACAAGATGTGGAGGATTTTCATCTGATGAACACTATTATCATTACTGATTTGCCATAGCCACAATTGTTGGAGTATGAGTGTAGGTGTAGGTGTAGGTGTAGATTTTGTTGTGAATGTGAGTGGCTGAATGTTGGTTCGATGGTTTCCATTTGTGAACTACATCTACACCCACAATTAAACTCTAACCATAGATTTATAGTCTATGGAGGACATTTTGTATGCTAATGATCCTTTTGTTTATCTAAAACTCAGCGCTTTTCACTTAGTAGAAACTTTTAACATATAATGCTCATCTCATTTTCTTTTTTTTTGCTAATCGTGTATATGAGTGTGTGCATCTTCTCAAATTGATCAATTAAGCATGCACATATATGTGGTTGCAAAAAACATTTTTCTCACGTCTATTCTGTTATTGTAACTAAAATAATAACGAGATAATTAGTTATTTTTCCTAGAAGAAAGTGTACCTATAAATATACATAGACATAGTGTTATATTTGTTGTCATTTTTTAAATAATGGCTTCAAATGTGACATTATGTCTTGGCATTTTATTTCATGAAGTAAATAATTTCGAATGCTTAACTAATTAGTCGCATAATAGGATCAATTATAATATTTGTATCAATAATTTCTATACTATTTAATATTCGTTTCATTTATTGGTCGTCATACCATCAACATCTTCGGTTTCGTCATTATTCGTTAATCTTATCAATGATTTTATCATCAATATCAGTAATCATTGTGATAGTACCATCAGTATTTATCCGATGTTTATCTTCTCATCGATGGTGTTCACTATTTTATTGTCAATTGGAAGGTTTTATTTCATATTTAAATGGTTGTGTTCATATGTTTATGTTGATGATGATATCAGTTATCCGTTATGCTACAGTTTTTCAAACAAATATACAAAATCAATTTATTGGTCAACATTCATATTGCATGGTGATACTTTGTTGGTTACTTGGTCTTATATTTGCATTGCCACCATTATTTGATTGGAATAAATATACATCTGAAGGGATTGGTTTTCATTGTGGATTAGATTGGTTTGATCGATCACTTAGTTCACGTATTTATTTTATTTTTGCTTTTGGATTCATTTATTTTATTCCATTAGTTGTGTTATCAATTATAAATATATATGTTTATTGTAAAATTCGATCTTTACTTTATGGTGCAACAAGAGTATTACAACACAACTTTATATTAAATATCTCTTATCAGAAATATCAATGCACTTCATGTAGTTCATCGTTAAGTAATAGCTCAACAACAAAATGTGACAAACGTGGTTTTGTTGTAGCACCAACTTCAATCAATGTAACTTCTCCATTAGCTGTTCGTCAAATGCGTATCTTGCAAATGAATAATATTATGCGATTAAAGCGTTTGAAAGCTGATCAATGTTTTACTTTGGCAACAATAATCTTAGTTAGTGAATATTTACTTAGTTGGACACGATACGCTGTTGTGGTGTTATTTTGTTTATTTGATGTAAATCATATTAGTCAACAATCAGTATTACTGACAATATGTGCATTCATAGCAAAAACTTCAATGATTTTAAATCCACTTCTTTATATAGCAACATTAAAAACTAATCAACTCAAATCGATGCTATAGTGTAGTAAATGTTCATGTTGTAATTGTCGAATTAAAAGAAATATATTAATGTCAAAACTTTTTTTCTTTGACTAAATAAAAAAACATTCAATGTCCGTAATACCTTACAAACGATATGATGATATCTAATTGTTTTCAAACGACAGAAACACAGGAAATTAGAAGACACTCACCAGAACTAGTTTTTTTTCAAATGAAAGTTTAGCTTTAAATGAGTGAAGTATAGTAGATAATTAGCTATTCGTATAAACAAACGTTTGTCTTTCATAGGAAAAAGAAGTCATGTCGGCCAATCACATGCTTATTTTCTTTACGGACATTTTCTGAATATGTAATTAAAGCTAACGTGGAATGTTTGCAACTAATTTTGAACATGAAAAAATACTTCGTACGATTTTATCTTTTCTAAGGATAATCTGTGAGCACATTGTAATTAAAAGGTATGTTACATAGAGCTCTAACAAAAAAACATTGTTTTCTGACGATTCAACCCAACTTAGTCAGATTTATCGTATAATTCTATATGCATTTTGAATGTTCACACTAAAATCAATTTCTATTACATGTTAATTTCTGTTGCAGCAAAGCCTTTATTATTGATTTTATTTGCTATGTAAGAAGAAACTTGAACGATGGTATAACTGATATATAATTTATTTTTAAGGTCATTTTATTTGGAAGTTTTGCTCTATTCATGAGAGTTTTAAGATGAGAGAGAATGGAATAGAGTCAAATAGATAAAGATATAATGAAATAGGCACTTTTTGAACCTAACGCATGTATCTTTGCTAGTTTTCAATTTTCTAAAATTATTTTCGGCACAAACCATGTAAAAGGCTTTGCCCTTTATCTATCTATACAAGTAGTTTTTCAAAACCTATTGTTATAACATAGTGATGATAAATTTCTAGAGATATCCAAAATAATTATTCATTTCTTCACTTAGCATGAGTACATAATGCGGCTGTTATTTATTTCTCAAACAAAAGAAAGAAAAAACTCTACTATTATTGAGTTGGGCATATAAACTATTGTCTAGGGTGAAATTGGCTCGAAGCATCATTGTGATTTTATATAAAGAACTTGGTTAAAAACTATCAAACTTTCGCCTCTCTAAAAGCATTATACAATGAAAGTACTTTAATAGTGTATAACTAGCTTAATGCCAGTTTATCTAGATTGTTTACCTCTGGTGGACAAAACTTGCTCTTTTGAACAAAAAAACAGTCAACTAAATTGAGCTAATTTTCCACATTCAAACAATATTTTTCAATAAAAAGTTAATTATGTCCAAAATAGATTCATTATCTGTTACACTCATCTTAACTGAAACAAACATATGCACTGTGTATATCTTCAATATCGAGGCACATATGATACTTTGAAAAACTCATATTTGTCTAATTGTTATATTGTTATTTGAATTAATTTAAAATAACTATTGATTTCCTAAGTATTAATATACGTATATATATGTCCTTATTAACTATTGATGATACATTTTTAAACAAAATATACATGTTTTATTTAAAAGAAGTCTAATGGATAATAAGTCTATTTTGAATATAATTGACTTTTGTTGAAAAATATTGTTTAAACTATTTACATCAACTAAATTGGGTTGTGTATCTTTTCTTCAAGAAAGCTTAGAAGTTGCTGGCATTTTAACCACTTTTATTCACAAAAAGTGCTTGATTCTGATAAACTGATAGTAAGTTAATTATATGCTGTTAAAATAGTTTCCCCAGTAGATTTAGCTGAGGTTACAAGTTTCCCTCAATAAACGGACAAGAAACTAATGTTTCAAAGTACTTTGCTTATCTTTGGCTTCTTCTTGATCAATATTACAAACATTTCATTCGAATAAAGCTACTTGGTTTTTTATTTTTCTGAATGAGAAATTATTTATGAGTCTTCAGCTCAGGTTTCGACATTTTTGCTTGCGACAAAAATTGAGAGAATCGTGGGTTTTGGAAACATAAAGAGTTCCATATCTGTACTCGGTAATCACATCGAAACCCTCATTGATATTTTTAATGATTAACTTTAACAGGTGATTCCAGGTATTCTGATTGGTCCAGTTGTTGTGCGAGGTATAAGTGCTTCTAGTTCTACAACAGATTAATAGGAAGTGATGCTTTCGCTAGCTACACTAATGAACTTCTCTATCGTCAAGTTTTGATTGATATCGATGAATAGTTGTTATTGAACTGAAGATTTCGAAAACAATTGCTTGTGAAAAATGGCTAGATTGAATTCAAATGGCATCAAGATTATCAAGTGAAACTAAGAAGTCAGCTCATTGAAGACTTTCACAGACAATTGGAGTTAATGCATCCGAAATCTTGGAGAAAATTGTAATAAAATAACAAGCATCTTCACGCCAGTTTTCTGATCGTCGATGGCACTGACAGTGTCGACCGAAACACTAACTACACTAAGGGCATTGGTGTGGGAGTGAGCGGGGTGTCCCTGAAGAGAAGACCTATACTCACACATCTGTACCTTTTTTCTTCTTCTTGTCAAAAGCATCTGCTGTGGCTTTTACGTTTTTTTTATTTTGAACTGATTGTAACATTAGTACTGTTGTCATTATATTTTCATGATTATTTTCATCTTCATTTTATAGCTCGCCATCGATTGATCACAAAAAAGTTGTTTAAATTCTCGAATTTGAAATTTTTTTGGCTAAATAAAGCGTGTAAAATAAGTAGATAAACAGAGTTAACTATCAGTTGAAAATAGAATAGTGTTTTTACTTCTCGAATAGAAATTGAGAGTGGAGTTGTTCTTCTATTGAAAAACTTTTGACGTTGTTACTCTGAGATAGTAAATCAATCAATAAGAATGATGGCAAATTAAACACGTCAGTGGTGACGATTTATTCAATAAGAGCAGGTTTCTTCTGTAGCAAATTCGAAATATGAAAGAAAAAAGCTTTTATATCCAAAAGGAGAAAAAGTGAAGCAGGTGTCAACCATGATCAAAAAGGCAAATAATCCTTTCTCCAGTCTATTTTTATTCTATATACATTTGCTGTCACACGATCCATTACAATAAGCATTTATTTTTTCTCTTCATTACTCAAAATGTCTTTAGGGTTTTTCTAACTTTCTATGAAACTAGATGTAATCGTATTTGTACTACTTTTTTATATCGTGCATAAGCCTTCCAAAATTCTTGTTTGTATACTTTAGATGGAAGAACAAACACCACGAAAGTAAGCACAGATGGCATGAATGAGATAAAATATCCAATCAAAAATAACCATGGATCATTAGTTGACTTCATACAACGTGAAATAAGAGAAATGATCAAACGTGGAATAGCTAAAATGACCAAAAGAATTGGAGTGATCAGTAGATGACTGTGTTCTTGAAATTGTTTTTGTAACATTTTTCGAAAACTTTCATTAGCTCGTACAGCTGTTCGCCGTCGAGTAGTCATTATAATAATGACTAAACCCGAAATCAAATTAATAATAAATGGGGTTAAAAAATGAAATATATTTAGCATTGTATTAAACGTTTGAAGATTGGATGAATAAGTAACAATACACCAAATTCTTTTCTCGTCATCATCATTATCATCATCTATCAAACGTCGATGAATAGGATCATGAATAGTTGTACTAATATTCAAAATTAGAAGAATAAGAATAATATATTTAGCCATTTGTTTACTCTTCTTTCTATCAAAACTGATTCCTTTTATTGTGGTAACTGTTCGTTCTACAGCTACACATGCAGACAACCATTGATCCATATTAAAACCGATTCGTAGCACAAAATCTATTGAAGTACATTGTAATCGTAGGAATAAACGATTCGTAATGTATGTCATTTGTGCAATGATAAGTATGGAAAATTTCAATGCAAACATAAGCATTGTAAATAGACTAGTGATCGATGTACTTATTAGATAAATACCACAACCAATTTTACGTGGTTCTTTATTATTAATTGCAATCATCAATAGAGTACTATTGATCAATCCTGCTACAGTCATAATGATCGTCAATACTATACTTAATTGTACAACAAGGGTTTGATGTCTGATGATAATATGTGGTTGAATATGATAACCTAAAATTGCATCAAGCGAAAGACCAAATCCATGTGAACTAAATTGGCAACGTCTTCCATAAAAACATGTTTGACAAACACATGTCGATGTTTGTGGACATGTAGATCTATCTTGTAAACATTGTGCTCCATTTTCACAATTACTTTGACCAAAACAATCGAATTTCTTTGTATAATTAAATTCAAAACAGTTGGCTACACGGTGTTGCCCATAATCGTCACATAAACAAAAATAATTGTCATCATAAAAACAAGATACTGGTGGTAAATGTCTTTCACATGGTAAATGGTAATATTTAATACGACGAAGAAGATGAAATTTAACAGCTGCATGATCCAATACTTCATTTATATATGGACAACGATCTGATGGTTGAATTTCTCGAACAATGGTTGTTGATGGATGGTAGCTCTTTTGAACAGTGATTAAATAGTAGTTTTTATCGAAAAGTTGAATAAAAACAATGTGAAATGGGTATGACCAATGGATCACCAATTCTTTTTGATTTATAGGAATCATTTTGAAAGTACTACCATGTGTAGGTGGAGCACCGTCTATCACTTGAATGAAATGAACCAGTAACGAGGATGGTAAAATCATGTCTTGACGAAATGATATAATGATTTTAGTATCAGCTATTTCACATCTGTCTCCAGTGAAACCTATTTGACAGATACATTTAAATTTCTTGTTAGATATTATATGCTCATTAGTAGGCATACATTGACCACCATTGTAACATGTAGTATTTTGATTAGAGTGACATATTGTACTTCGAAATAAACATCGAGAACCCCACTTATTCATAGGACAAACACATAAAGATCGGTTGTTCGCTAAGATACCAATACATAATGAGTCAGGGGAACATGTGCAGTGATGAGAGATGGTACAGTATCGTCCAGACCATCCTCGATAACATTGACAAAAAGTAATACCTTTCGGATTGTCTGAATATTTAATACATTGACCATGAACACATTGTTGACTTGAACAACTTTCCACATCATCAGTTGTGCGTGGAATGTTGAGTTGAACAGCGACACGATGTACAGGTAAAAAAGAAAACTTAAGTGGTAATAAAAAACTTCTTCGATATGCGAGTGATATTTTTTCATAGATATCAATATGTATTGAATAATGTTTTTTTGGATCTTTTGGCCTAGTTGAATATAGTAAATACATATTGAATTTAATTGTACAATCTCGTATGTACAAATAACTAAATTGTTGGTGCGTATGAATGATTCTTTCATTACTATCATCAATGAGTAAGACAACAACAGCAAATAGAGTTCGTCGAGAATCAGAATATGTTTGAAATTGCAAAGTGAGACTAATTCGTTGGTTTTGATATTGACACATATTTCCATAAAAACTGGATGGACAAAGACATGCGTCAGTCGTTAAGTTTTTTTCATAATCTAGCCAAACTCTAACAACAAGACCACGATGACAACGTTGTTGGTGTTGAAGAGCGATTTGTCGAGTAATAGATGAATGTGAACTTACTACTTTTGTGTTTTGTTTCGTTATTTGTTCGATTGAGTTGTTAATTCTATCCAATGAAAAATATCTGATGGGTGATTTACTGATATCGATTGGTCGTTTACAAAAAAAATTTGCAATCTCAGAACGAACAGTTGCATATTCGTCATTACATATACTAAAGTAGCCAATATTGTTCAGAGTATTGTCACAAATTTTATCATAATCTTTGTCATTGCATTCTCTATCAAAACATAAAGATATATAAGACGTACAATATTCATGTTTCCCATCAGTGCAGTGAATGTTAACATTGCTGAGTTCATGATTATCTGATCGACATAGTTGTGGCTCATCAGTAGCGCCAAGGCAATTAATATTGCCATCATTGACTTGTGTGAGAGACAAACACATGAATTGGTATGTGTTAAGTGAGACACAAATATGATGATGAAGCGGACATTTCAATATTGGTGATTGGTCACAATCTACTTCATCTGCTCCATTGAAACAATTCCAAAATCCATCACATCGAGTATAAGTGTTATTACATTGCCAGTATTCACATTCGGTTTCATCGGTTTCATTTCGTCCATCGATAGTAACAGGTATTAGTTCTGTAAAACCATCACAAATTGTTGGAAATGAAATATGTTTTCTGAAATAGTTAAGGTCTAGCTGTTCATCATCACACAAATTATATTCATTTAATCCACAATGGCAAAAATCATCTTCAATCAATGGCGGAGGAATACAAAGATCTATTGTGGAACATTTCAAATGGTTTTGCGATCCATACATCAAACAGGAACCATGAATCGAAGAACATTGTTCGTCATCTTTATAATCACAATCGTTTATACCGTCACAAAGGCGATGCTTGAAAATACATTTTGAGGATTTGAGACATCTGTACATAATTGAACTATTACAACTGGTAAAACCTCTATGAATGATTGTATTGCATTGATAAAGCTGTTGATACAAAGGTAAGACATAGGTATTAATCCAGTCACCTCTAGTGAATCCAAACGCCTTAAAAGTTAATGGAAAATCTATGGGACGGCGACATGTATTATTATCGAATGACAATATCGTTCGGTTCGAATAAAATTCGCCACAAAGTTGATCATTATAGCAGACATACTGAGGTGGTGGAGTTCTCTGATAAGACCGTAACATACTTTCTTTTGTATATAAAAAGTACATATGGCCAAAAGCGGCCGGACTAGCTGGCACATACAACATATCAGGACATGTCATGTTAATTATTTCTGTCCATGTTTTCTTGAAAAACCGCTTACGACATCTTAGATCTGATAATGAATCTTGAATAGCCAATTGACACTGAACAGCTAACCAACAGTCATTCGACACTGTATTTGACTTCTCAGAGAATAAGAACTGCTGTAGTAAAGAGGAGCGTTGGAACACACATGAACTTGTTAGCTTCAAATAGATATGGTTATGACGATTGGTACATATAATATCTTCCATTGTAAATGTAGGCTCACCGCTAATATTCATAAAGAGTCTTTCATGAAAGAACTTTCTGTCTGATCGATCAAGACATTCAAAACCATTAGGGTCATCATGAAAAAATGTCTTAGATATGCATTGTCCATTTAGACATCGAACTTCATTATCTTCACATTCATTTATTTCAAATTGCCAACAAGATTCTTCATCGATTCCATTTCGACAATCAATGACTCCATCACATATTTCACTCCAATCAAGACATGCAAATATTGAACCGCGATCACATTGTAAGTGAGTGTAACATGTCAATGTTGTTGGTTCATATTTGTGTAGATAATATTCGCGAATAATCTCGTTTAAAGTTAAATGATGATACTTGTAAGCATCCAATGAATATTGACACAATGGACCGAATCTGGGTGACGTACAATTATAGAACATATAAGTTACCATTGATGATGATGACGTATTTGAAGTTAACAATAGATTTAAATAAAATTGATAATGTTCAACTACATCCATTGGTGCCGACCAAAGATATAATTGTTCACTAGTAATATTTAACTTGTAGAGCTCAACAAAAGTAAAGTTTTGATCTTGATTATTTTTTTGAAACTTCCATTTTGATGGCCATTCACTCATACAATAAGAAATGATCTGATAAGGATCATTTTCTTCTTCAATCCAAGCCGCAACATGAAGACAATCATGTTGTAGAACAATATTACTTTCATTATCATTTGTCCAGTCGGTGAGATCAAGATTAATTTGAGGAAACGCAATTATTCTATACAATAGAATGAAATAGAATAAGTTACTGATGAATGACCTCATCTGACTTTTTAGAGACTCAATATGAATGCAGTATTAAGAGTTCATTTTTATTCTCTCCATCTTTCTATTTTTTTCCAAAAAGCTAATTTACAATATTTTTTCCCTAACAAAGTACATAGTAAATATGAAATAAAGTAGTTTGTTCCTGCACTCTGAATCAGAGATTGCAAGGATGTTTTTTTTCTGTCAAACAATCATACAAAATCATGATTCACATCTGGCAGCATTCTGTCTGAAACTAAATTAGAGATATGAGTTCAACTCATTAGTGTAATGATGCATTTATATTTTTGATGTTGTTCTAGTTACAAGTACTTAGATAGATATTTTCAATAAGTCGTTAATGCTGTTCCAGTTGACTCTTCTCTGCAGAGTCTTTCGTGAGTCGCTTGAAGAATGCGAAACCATTGGGGAATCTCTGGAGAGTGTCACCATCGTTGTAGAGAATTGTGAGCTTAGTATTCTGTGAAATTTGTAGCTCGATCTAATTACTTTTTCCTATACAAACAAGAAAAATACTAACGGAATGTTCGATCATTTTTACTAATAATTTTTCAAAATTTTTTAACTGATTTTTAGTTGATTTTTTTCAGTAAAAGTGACGTTCAATTTTGAATTTTTGAGGTTTTTGACTTCCGATTTTGCTTACTGTAATTATTGAAGTATTGTCTTTTTGCAAACAAAAACTCAGAAGTTTTCTTCAATCATATAAGGACTTTAGAACTATCCTGAAAAAAGTCTGCTTTGCCCACTTTTCTGTGTTTCATTAACAAAATATCGGTAAACCACATTGCATGCCCTAACAATCAGTCACTTGCATATTTCTGCCGGTAGCAGAACACATTACGTTTTACCATCTAGAATATCTCCCAATTTAGGCCTTTGAGAAAAGTGAGAAAAGTGAGAATAGTTGAATAGATTCTATATATACATGAGTGTCTATGATAAATATTCAGAAAGAGTGAACGTAAGGACTGATCGCCAAAACAAAACTCATGAACATAGATGGTCGAAAGGTATTCGGCAGTCTTTCTTTTCGACAGTGTTCGCTCCAGTGATCAGGTATATAACCGACCGAAATGATCAAAGACATTTTTGGTACATTCAAACTTTTGTGGTTTGAAAAATATTTATGATGTTTGTCTCTTTATTTTGACTTGCTATTTCATGCAAGAAATTGTAATTATCTTATTTTTATAGGAACAAATTAAGTAAACAACTGAAATTAGAATGAACCGTTTATGTAGAGTAATACAAGTGGATATGTTCGAAAAATCAGAAATATCGATCGACTTGGTTTGGCCTGCAGACATTCTGAGTCAGATCAGCTCAGAAAAATGCATCCTGTTAGCACGTTTGATTTGGAAGGATTGCAGGCAAAGAACATGCTTCAAAACAATGTTTTATATTCACAAATGTCGATTACTGCAGTTACAATTCTTAATCTTGCTAATATAAATAAAATTGTTCAACAGTTGGAATGTACAAAACTTTTTCATCTTAAAAAAAAAAAACAACTTCAATTCTTCTACAATTATTTTCTTCTATATGTTCACATTCGTGATCGTTCTGTGATTCATGAACTTTGTAAAAGAAAATAATAAAAAAAAAAGATATTTTACACGCACACACACACATACATAGTCGCTTGTAATATAGAACATAAACTCATGAAACATTAAACACGAAATAAAAAAATACATAAAACTACTGCAGAGCAAAAGGAAGAAATAAAGATGTATTTGTTGTTGTTGTTATCATTTTTTTTCTTGCTTAAAATCAATGATTATAGTTCAGTTACTGGAACAGTAGACTGTAGCCCAGATGATGATGATGCTGATGAATATGTTGTCATTGTTGATAATTTTCGATTTGGATCCGTATTATAATATCGGCAATGAATTGATGTTAAACTCTTACACCATGTAGTCGCATCTTGATCTGGATCAGTTAAATGATATGTTCGACCCGGCTGAAGATTAATATAAAGAATACAATTATTTTGTGAAACATGATTCAATACGAGTGTTGAACTATAGGAAGTAAAAATTTGGGACTTTTCTCTCCCATACACCATAAAAGTAGAGAGGGTATGGGTTCAAATCTGAGTATGTTTTTTTTGTGACATCAATATCTGGCACTTTCGGTGTACATAAACAAGTCAAGAATCAAGATTTTAATTATTCATTGACTACTTTCAGAAAAAAGTCAACGTAAAGTTGTTTCTTGTTGATCACTTTTCTGTCAATCGATGTTTAATAAATTAAAAGTTTTTGATTTGTTGAAAAGAGAATTATATTAACTAAAAAGGAAATTGAACAGTTCATTGAAAATCGTCAAATCAGCACTAACATGAAAATATTCAACTGTATGAAATAGTTTTATGTTAGACATTTTAACAATGATCCGCTCTCCGCGATAGAGACGTTGATATATGAGCAAAGAACTTATATTAATAACATTTCGTTAGAATATATAAAATACTTTCTTATTGAATTTTTTAGACGATCAAGTATAAAAGACATATGATTACTAAGAGCAACTATATCATGTTCTACATTTTAATCAAACAGAGATTGTGCTAAGAGCTTGTTTTTTTTTTGTTAGTATATGATATTTACCACATGAATAAGAAATGTTTTCATATCTTTCTGTTCAATACGTAAATCAGCTGTCCTAGATAATTCAAATGAAAAAAAGAAAACTTAAAATTGTAAAATAGAAATGTATTAATTCATATACCATGATATAGTTCCTTTTAATTCCATTGCATCAGGATCAACATAAAAAATAGCAGGACCTTCAGTAATAAGAAACATACGTCGTCTAGCAAATAAGCCCTTTAAGAATAAAAAAAAATCAAATTAAATTATTAACTAAAAAAGAAAAATGATATATTTACTTTTTTCTTATCTAAAATGCCTTGTTTAATAATTAGATTATTTTGAACAAATTTATGATAAATATTCTTTGATGCTTGTTCTGATAATGATAGAGTATGATCAGGTAATTGTAATCTAAATATATCAACTATTAGAATATATTGATGCAAAATAAAGTTTTATTCGAATGAAATTATTTATCAATGAATTCATTAGAGAAAAAAAAATTGTTGAATAAATAATTTTTTTTTTCATCGTATAAAAAAGAAATAATTACCTTCGTGCTGTAACAGGTGCATTAATATTATTATTAAAAGAACCATTTGAGGACGGAGAAGTGTATGAAGATGATCTAGTACTTTGATCCGACAATGAATTTGGATAATGTGTTTCTTGTAAAGATGATCGATCATTTGATAACGAAAGATTCAATGAACGAGTAATAATTGATGATAATTCATCTGGACCATCAGCAGCCATACGTAAACCAATTAAACGAGCTTCAACGCGGGCATCAAAACCTGATGACATTGTTTTAAGCTAAAATAATGAAGAATATAACAAAATAAGAAAAATATCTCAAATCATAAAATTAAACATATGAAAAAATTTCTTTTTTATAAATTATTTCAAGCATGATTTTTTTTTTATTCATGTTTGACTATAACCAACACAAAAACTCATTATATTGAAAGAACAATATCAAACTTTTATAAATAGTATTTTGTCTATGTATTAAGAAAAGAAAAAGATTGAATTTCTTTTGCATCAGTAATATATTTATCGAAGAAATAAACAGCGAAATATAATACTCACATACATAAAATGACTCAATATACACAGTTATTATTTCGTAGTAAGTTATTAGATAAGGAATAGTTAATAGAAAAAAAAAAATAATTACTATACATATATATATAAAAACAAATATGCATGGAATGATAGATGTATTATTATTATTCTATAAATATTTTAAAAACAAAAATGAATATTAATATTATCAATTTGTCTAAAAATAGACTTTATAAGAGTAAACATCTAATCAAATAATTGTATGATTTGCTGCTCTAGTCAAAAGTAGAAGAGGAACATGCTTTCTTTTTCTACAATATCAAACATGTAACTCGAATCCAAATAGTCATTTGTATAGTTAAAATAAAGTTCTCTATCAAATGCATATTTAGTCAAAATTTTACAGTTGTACTATGAAAGTAAAGGTTTCAGAAAGAACTAATACAGTAGTTTTCAACTGCTAGAAGATTATATGAAAAATAGTTTTTAAGTGTAGCACAATAAATAGCATAAAGTTCTGAATAAAAATAGGAGTACACACTTAAAAATTAATTCTCATATAATTTTCTAGGACTTGAAAACTATCGTGTTTGGCCTTGTCAGATATCATTCTTGCATATTAAACATATAAAAATTCGATAGTACATGTATTTGATAGAGAATTTCATTGACTATTTAGACTACTACGTGAATTTGCGATAGATGCTTGGTATCATAGAAAATAAAAATCAAATATACGTTAGTCTTATATTTTTGACTAGTACTTGATGATCTTTTTTTTATTTGTTCAGAACTTGCCTCTATTTAATATATCCTAGATGATAATGAATAATGTAGATTTTTTAAATCAAATAATTATAAATAATTTCTCGTATTTATATTTGAATTGAAACGCATTGAAGAAAAATATTTATTAAATCGATAAATAACCTCATCTCACTACATCAAACAATGACTATTATGAAATTTACTCATTTACATTCTAACATTAGAATAAAAGGTCATCCTATTATGGAAGATCATAGGTTCGTTAAAACCTTTCTCCGAAAATCTAGCAAGTTTGAGCACCTAAAAAAACACTGTTAAATTAAGTTTACTGAGTTTTCTACTTAAAAAGGTGCTTTACTTAGCAAAAAAAAAAGACTAATGCGAAACAAAAAGTCTTGACTTTTTAATTTGTAGTGGGATTTAAATGCTTTGTATTTTCTTATTTAAATATTTACTTCATCATCACTAAGTTGTGGTCTTGAACTAAGTTTAAGCTTTGCTTCAAGTGGTGATTGTTGATTTAATAAATGATCCCATTTCGTATCATAAGAAAATTCACTAAAGAATGGATGTTCCTTGAGTTTTTTCATACCACCGGTTTCTTCACTACCAAGTCGTTCGTGTGGTTCAAGACGCTATATTCAAAAAGAAAAAAAATCTTCACATTGAATTCTCATATAAAATAACATACAACAAGTTTTTGAACTAGATCACCAAGTAGTGTAGGAAAATCATCTGATAATTTATAAGTAACACGTACAACAGCATTGTATATATCATATTCATGACTAAACTAATCCAAATCGGTTTTTCTTGTTGTATAAAATATACAAAATAAAACTTACTGGCCACGAAATAAATGTTTACCTGTAGCCATTTGATAAATAATACAACCTAATGACCACAAATCAGATCTAAATAGTAAGTCAAATAAAACATTGAATGAAATAGTTCGATTTTTTAACGAACCCAAAATGAATAGCACCACGTTTAAGTATTTCTGGTGCTACAAATTGAGCAGTACCAACAAATGAATTAGTTCGTTTTAATAGTTTTTTTTCTCCATCTACATTTTTACTATGATCTGATTGAGCTACAAAAACAAAATGATAGACAACATATAATTAATATTTATTTTCTTTTAAATTTTATTTACATTCACTATTGTCAATAATTACACCTGAACCAAAATCAGTTAATTGAATATGCATATCATCAGTTAAAAGTATATTTTCTGGCTAGAAAGAAAGTTATTGTTTTTGTTTATAAAAAAAAATCAAAAACAAAAAGTAAAACTTAAATAATACTTTGAGATCACGATGAACGATATGTCGTTTTTGTAATTGTTCAAGTGCTTCAATAAGTTCTGCAGCATAAAATCGTACAGTTTCTTCATTAAGATGACCAGCATCTGTAATATATTGAAGAAGATCACCATTTGGACAATATGTAAGACCAAAATCTATGAAGAAATTTTCTAGATTAACTTAGAACATTAAAAAATTTAACTTCAAAATATTATTTATCTTGTTCATGTCTACATGAATCTTTAAGCCGAAGTTTATTAGAGTCTACATGAATTGTAATTAGAATGGTAACGTATGATTTTCAGTTTTCTACTGATAATATTGAAATTATTAGTAATTGTCTTCATTCATTTCTAATTAGTATAAATGGTTAATTCGACCGGAATTTTTGCTGTGACAATCTTCTATGATAAAAAAGAGAATTCTAGATGTCTCTGACTCGGCAAAAAAAAAAGAACTTTCTTTCGTTCTGTTTGAGAAAAAAAAAGAATCTGTTCTCAGTATATTGATGTACTTTGAGTTCTTTTTCTCGGTACATTATATTTTATAAATTCTCAACTAGGACAAATATTAATTTATATGCAGACAGGATACTCGCTGATTAGATATATCTAAATAAAAGCTTTAAATAATTGTGTCGATGTTTCGAATAACATAATGTTAAATGACATGTTTATCTTGTATGAATATCATATTCAATTTTTTGAGATTTTTTTTTTTTATATTAAATAATGAACACTATATTTTTCATGAACTCAATTTCGTATTTAAATCAGTCAAATCATAGTATATTTCTTTTTTTATTAAATAAATAATCTTAGTCGACTTCAAACAAAACTTAAAATTGCTTTCTTCTATTTATCTTTTATAATTCTTTAAATGATATATGTCATGTGCTATTATATCGTTTTTTTGTGAAGCATTGACAAGAGTACTCAAACTTCATCGAGACACATCCAATTAGAAAATTATTTTCTGTCTGCATATAAATTAATTTTCTGTCGAAGATCAGGACTTATGGAAACATCGTCTATATATAATAACCTTTCTTCTATAAAACATATAAAAATAAATAATTTAAATATGCTAATTTTTAATTATTTAGATTACTCTTAAACTATAAATATCTCTAGCATGACTTAATAAGACTTTGTTGAATTCATCATATTGATAATTTAACATATTGGTTTATTTTTTTTTCTTCAATATATTAACAGTCTATGACGTAGATAGCTGTTTAAAATTAATTAAAAATAAATCAATCATATCTAATCAAATGAAAAAGCTTCTTTTTTTTTTTCTTTTATTAGTTAACATAATGATACATATAGGTATAATATTCATATCAAAAAAAAAACATATAAATGTATTTTGATTGATTTATTTTATCAAAATATGAAATACTTACAAAGAGTTTTGTCATCTTGAAATGTACAATAAAGTTTAACTGCATAATTACAATCAGTAAGTCGCGCTAAAATATCTTTTTCTCGAAAGACTTGAGAAATTTTTTTTAATCTTGTTACTAAATCTTTACTAACAGCTTTAACTAAAAGATAACAAATACATACGAAATTTAAATTATCAGAAAAAAAAACAAACCAATTAATACATACTTGCTAATTCACGATTTGTTGCTGTATCAATAGCAAGAAAAACCTAAATAAATAAAAATATAAAAACTAAGTTTCGTTTTCTTTTGAAAAAAAAAACAGATCATTCCTACAGTTGAATATGATCCATTACCAATTTCTTTAATAAATTTAAAATCTTTGACTGTTTTTTTTGGCATTCGTAATGATGCTGCATTCGGTATTGTTGCCATTATTGTGTTGTTTCTCTTTTAATCAAAGCAAAAGAGAGAAAAAAAAGAAAAAGGGAAACTCATCAACCATCACTATAAAACAAACATTATTTTTTCTTATTGGTCTTCAAAACAACCAATCAAAAAAGAAAAATTTGAGTATGTTTTTTTTCATATCGTACGCGATTTCATTATTATTTCGTACGTAAAAAAAAAATTATGTCATCTGAAAAATTAATAACAGTAGAAGAATTACAATCAAATCTTCTTAATGCTTATCATGAAGAATTTCCAAATGATGAACCAACTATATGTGCATTTGCACCTGGTCGAGTAAATTTAATTGGTGAACATTCTGATTATAATAATGGTTTTGTTTTTCCAATGGCTATATCAGTTGGTACAATGATTATGGGAAAAGCATTAGATGATCAAGAAAATAAGAAATGTTATTTTCGTACATTAGCTCGTAAATATAATGAATAAACTTTTTATTATTTTTTTTTTTTTTTTTTCTAATTCAAATTTTTCATTTAAGAGGATCTCAAAGAATCTAAATCATTTGAATTGGATTTAATGGAACCAATAACACGATTAGAATCACCTAAATGGGGAAATTATGTTGTTGGTGTTCTTGCTTTATTTTTAGAACGTATTAAAGCAAATAAAAAAAAACCATTCCGTGCACTTATATCAACATCAGTACCTATTGGTGGTGGTCTTAGTTCATCAGCATCAATTGAAGTAGCAATGTGTACATTTCTTGAAATACTTTATCAAGATGAATATGCACATGATTTACAATTAACGAATATTGAAAAAGCTTTATTATGTTGTAAAGCTGAACAAACATATGCAAATGTACCATGTGGAATTATGGATCAATATACATCATGTTTAGCTAAAGCTGATAATGCTATATTAATTGATTGTCAAAATAATACTTCAAGATATGTTTTATTTAATGATAAAAGTTTATGTATATTAGTAACGAATTCAAATATCAAACATGAATTAGTTTCAGGAAAATTTGCTGAAAATGTTGGACATTGTCAATATGCTGCTAAAATTTTAGGTAAAATTTTTATATTTTTATATGAAATTTAAAAAAAAAATTAGAATAGAGTTGATAGCTAAAATTAAGCTTTTCTTTTCGTACGAAAAAAAAGTATCACATTTCCAATACTATTATTTCATACTTAGAGTTGACCAGAAGTTCTAGCAACATGAAACAAAAATAAAGAGATCTTTGTAACTATCTTGAAAACCTCGTGAGTCAATGTATATTCATTTGTTTGATCAGTTAAATTACGTTTGATATAATCATTTTGCCAAAATTTTGCATGATGAAAGGTTTGTGACAAACAGTGGATCTAGCATTATATTAATACTTTCTTGCGTTAAATAATTGATCACATCAGAATGAGTATTGAATCGAGCAGTGTCATGAAGTAATTGTATACTTTTTGTACTCAATGACTTCCTTTGCTTCCATAGTTCATTAATAACAGGCTTGAAACAATTTTCAGCATAATAGTTGGAATCTATAGTATTGCTTTTATTTATACTATCTATTGGAACAAGACTCTTTGATCTTTACTAGTCGAGCTAGAGTTAGTTGAATTTTGTCTAACCTGTCATCTATGGTGAAATTTCACCAAATTTTCACGACAGGTTCTAACTATATAGTTCTCGCTTTTATTCATCATTGACATTTTTTCATATCTCATGGAAGCGTTTTGACTACCTTATAACTGTTCGATATGATGGAGGGCTAGCTTCTAATACTGTTATGAGTTGTTTATGAATTGTCTTTCAATTTATTTATTCATACAACAAACTTCACTATTAACTGATTTATAAAATTGCTAGCACCGCTGCAAGAACATTTCGTCAAATCTAAGTAATAATAGTATTATCAAAGGTTGAGCTACATTTTTACAATAGTAGATCATCTTCTTTTATTGTCAAAGTTATCAAAACTAAGCCTTTTTTTTTATTGAATCTAAACAAAAAGTTGCTCAATGTGTCACCATAATGCTTCAGTGATAGTTGTATGCGCGAATAAACATCCAAATGATAAATTTTACTATCATAAAGTATTCTATCTTAATTTAAAATATAAATGAGTAGTTCTAATAACAGAAGTTCTTTGAAATGAGTATATTACCAAAAAAACGACAAGTAGTTACTAATGTAGAATTGATTGTATATTTGGCAGAAGTTTACTTTCTACTTTACATCCCACAAACCTCGATTTGAAGACATATGATTCCATCACATACAGCACTGCGCAAAAATAAATGTTAATATTTGAAGTTATTGAAATACTACGATAACTACAGTTAAACTTTCCTTAGATGGGCACTGTCGGGACTTTTTTAAATTGCCCACTTAATGGAGGTGCCCTTGTTATAGAGGTTTTTACAGATATTGGTCACAAACACTAATCATACATATATATTACCAATCTATCCTTAGACCATCGATTTTATCAGGATTTCACTCTCATTATTTAATGTCTTTTCTTCAACTAAATTTATTTTCTATTTTCTTATTTATAATCAAGTTTTTCGAAAAAAATCCGTAATTGAGCTTTGCTTGTTGGTTTTTGAATCAATGTAAAATTATCGTTGACCAATTCGATCTTCTTGTCAAGTGTAAGATAATGATGCGACGTCATTTCTCAATGATTTTATTCAGCAATGTCAAATAACATGACTATTTATACTTTTTTATCACTGAATGCACAATCAAACGTATAGACGAGTTATTTTGTTGGTGTCGTCAGACGAGACTATTCTCCATGTCATTCGCAGGACAACAAAGAACAACAAGAAAAAAAGCACACTGAAGTGACTCATATGATGACTATATGTGCCCATATAAAAGAGGTTCGTCTATACAGTACGGCCTAAAATTAGTGCCCACTGCTCAGAAGTGGGAGGTGCCCTTGTTATAGAGGTTCATTTCCAGCAAAAATCGACCGGTCGTTCCGCCGGGTGCCCATATAGACGAGGTGCCCACATAGAGAAGTTTTGCTGTATATTCATCGTCGAATAATACTCTCATTTATCGTTCGAACAATTATCATCAGATACGTTTCATAGAGCTTGCTGTAGTGTAAGTTTCAGTTCTTTGTTACAATAAATTACTAAGTTATAACAATCCAAAAGTTAAAAATGATTCCTTTTCTTTTTGTTCAGGTCATAATACTTTACGTGATGTTGCATCAATTGATGAACTCGAACAAGCACATGATAAAATGTCACCAATTACATATCGCCGTGCACATCATGTTATAACTGAAATTCAACGTACACAAGCTGGTGCACAAGCTTTAGAAAATGGAGATTATAATGAATTTGGTCGTCTGATGTATGAAAGTCATGAATCATTACGTACATATTTTGAAGTATCCTGTGCTGAATTAGATCAACTTGTTGACTTAGCACGTTCAGTTGATGGTGTTTTTGGTTCTCGAATGACTGGTGCTGGTTTTGGTAAAGATTTTTTGTACTAATTATTATTATTATTTTTTAATTTGTTCATTTTAGGTGGTTGTACAGTAACATTAGTCAAAAAATCATCTGTTGAAAAATGTATGGAAACAATTAAGAATAATTACAAAGGTAAAGCAAGTTTTTATCAATTTGAACCAAGTGATGGCGCCCGTTCCATTGATATAAAAAAAGCCGAATGATAAATATTTTTATTTTTATATGTGCTTTTTCTTTTTTTTTTATAATCTATTTTATATCAGTCTTCTATATAAATCTCGCAGATATTCTTTTTAAATTAATATTCCAGCAATGTGATAAAATTGTTTGTTGATTTTATTTTAGATTTAAAAAAAAAATTATGATTGAAGACACATCAAAAACACCTCCATTAGTATCAAGTTCAACTCCAACACCAACTCGTTCAAATCCAATAAAAGATATTGATGTTTTTCGTAAACCATTACCACCAGCACCATTAGGACAACAACCACCATCATCTCGTCGTCAAAAACGTAAAATACTTGAAGAAGAAAAATTTGTTCAAGATTTAGGACATATTATTGAACGTGATTTCTTTCCTGATATTAAACGTTTACGAGCAAAAGAAAAATATTTAACTGCATTAGAAAAAAATGATGTGGTAACACTAAGAGATCTCTATGCTAAATATAGTATACATCGTGGTCCAACTCCGTCACCATCTATGATGGGTCATAGAGGTAAGATATAATTTAATTGTAACATTTTGTAAGACATGGTATAAAAGAAGTTTCAAAGTACAGAAATAGCAGTTCGAACTCCTAGAATTCTTCAGATTGGGTTCAGGTGCAAGAGTTTTGCATCCGACAGATTCTATTGCCTCCTCCTTTCTCGGACCGGTTCAAATGTTGTTGATAAAAATATCTCGTTCTAATATATAAAATAGTTGACGTTTATATTGCTGAAGAGGATGATGCAGACATGTATGGCAAACTACGTAGGATGAAGTAATCTCGTGTGATTAACAACAGTAGTTACATCATGTTTTCCAATTTAATTCCGCAGAGATTGTGCTAAGAAACTTCTATATTTAATTAATTAATTTATCTTTAGATACTCCGTCAAGTTCATTCGAAACACCGATTGATAGAGGACGTGATACACCGAAAACAATAAAAGATGACAAAGTTGAACATGATGAATTATTATCAAAACGTTCAGATATTGATGAAGATGATGAAGATTTTGATAAACAATCAGTATCATCTAAATCAAATACTCGAAGTAAATATTTTTGATTTAAATAAATTTTTGTTAATATTCTAAGAAAAAAAAATTTTGTTTTTATAGAAAAAGTACGTGATCTTCGACTTGATCAATATTTATCAATAAATACAAGTGAAGATAATATTTCATTTGAACAAATTATGGAAGAAACTCAAAAAAAAGAACGTACAAAAGTTCATCAAGCTTGGCTTTATGAACAACAAGCATTGACACATTCGGTAAGATTTTTTTGTTTCTATAGTGATCAACATG